TTGCTACTGAAGGCCCAGTAGATGGGAGCAGGTTTTATTCAGTACTATGCTGGACTGTATCCAGTCATAAATTACTCCAATTTTTCAGGTCCTGTGAAATGTTGAGACCTTTCATAGATTGCTCTTTCCAGTCTTTTCCTAGTCAATATGTCATTAACTCTTCTGTCAGTGCTTTTCTCAAATCCTTATTAAAGATATCTTTTTTATGTAGAAACTCATCCATTATCTGCACCGGGACAGGGATTGCTCATGGGAGAATCCTCTGAAATCTTCACCATGTGCAACCAGAAGATGCTGTTGCCACTCTTCTTCATTAAGCATAACCTGGCATGTGATGCCAGACCTGGAATTCAGTAGGCAAAATATGCTCAGGTGATCCTAGGAACTGGATCCTGCGATATGCTACAGAGGATTGCAAAAAACAAAACAAACAAACAAAAAACCTAGTAGCTCTAGGCAGGTGTGTTAAACAGCTCTTCTATACTTTTTTGAGGGGGCAGAAATAGGAGCGCTCACTATGCCAGCTCTTCTCTGTCCCCCCGCTCCTTCCCACACATTCCCTTATGCCATTTTTTAAACAGGCTTGAGTTGCTAAGCCTTAGGAGCTGGAGTCTCTGCTTTTGCTGAGATGCTGCTTGGGGGAAGACTAAGATGGAAGCTGGAGAACCAGAGACTAGAAGGGCATTGGAAGGACAGAGGGGGGTATGTCAGAAATAAATAGGCTTAAAATAGGGAGATACTGGGAGGTTCCTCACGTGCAGGGGTGTGTGCTTGTAGAGGCACAAACAGCAGCGGCACAAATTTGTGCTGCTTCTTTGTATCCTGTCGTATGCCCCTGCCTCTGTGCTTCAGCGCAAAGCAAATTGTGCCCGGTAAGGGTGGAAGTGACTGAGGCCAGCACCTATGTTGGCCCCAGCACTCTTACCTGCTGTCCTGGTGTAGCAGGGGTGCAGATCCAGCAGCATGGAACCTGAATGGCAGCCAAAGTGTTGCTCTAGACATCCAGTCCTCAATTTGTTCCAGCACAGGCTACTGACGTGCTCTGCGCCATTACTGCCTCAGAATGTTTTTTTGCTACCAAGATTTCCCGGCAGCAAATTCTGCCACTGTGCTGCAAATGTGCAGCATGAAGCATGTTTTCACATTCCCTACATGGAGTTTGTGGTGCCACAAACCGCACTCCCCTGCATGTGGCGACCCACCCACTGATCGTATTGGGTTTTTATGGGTATAGGTTTCAGAGGTGTATGGAAGGGACAAATGGGTGCCTGGGAGATGAATGACGGAGACTTTAAGGAAATGGAGGGAGAGAGAATTGAGGGTTTGAGGGTGGTGTGAGAGAAAGGAAAATGTGATGTCAGGGGTAGGGTGACTGAGGGATAGGGGAGGATTAACTTTGCTGGCGCTTTGTGGCATGTACTGGTGCATGGTAGGCATATTCCTAGATAGTTAAAATGAACCGAAAATAAGCTCTCCTTCCATTGTCTTAAATTGTGCAGAACCCTCTAATTTGCAGAGAGTAGAATTAATGACTCAGTACTACAGAGCTGCAACCTGCTGGTTGATTTTGTTGAGAGCACAAACCTTTTTGCAAAATGAGCCATTGGTGTGTGCACTGGCTGACTTAATCTTCACTGAATGTCATGCCATTTTCTATCAAGATCCTACGAAAGAAAGAAGCAGGTGAATGATTGGCAGTGTATCTAAGAATTTGACTCAGATATCCATTTCTTTCCATTGTATGCTAAATAAGAAAAGATTTGACACTATTGAGTTCTTTTTTGCACTTCTAAATCTATCAATTTGTTCAGGAGACATATCTGTCGCTATGGCAAAGATAAGGGGTGGTTTGTGCAAACTTGACACAGAATACATGCAACTAAAAAGAGCAGTTGCTTTTGTTTATCTGCAGTTAAACAAGTGAAAGCAATACTGTTATTTCAGAACTGTTTGGTGTGGTCAATTCTAATTGACTTCATTATGATACTTGTCAAGACAGCATTTTTCTTTCTGTGTTAATCTTCACATTGCTTACAGTTATATTGATTTGGAAGGCACTCACTTCTAGGCAATTGCCAGCTGGAAGAAAGCCACTGAAGAATCCCAACATTTTGCACAGACAGTAGTTCTTAAGGAGAGATGGAAAGATGGCATGGTTACAAATGACTTCTGTAGGAGAGAACTAGTAAATGACTCTTGGGTCATGAGGCATAAGTATTATAGGATGCAGATTTGAGTATCTAAAGAAGATTGTCTTCCATAATATGTCTCCTTTGAACAATTGCGAAGGTACACAGAACAGAAGATTCTCCAGGTATGTGAAGAGTTAAAGAAGGGTCTGTTTCATTACAGACCTTCATTATTATATTAAAAATAATTTTATGGCATACCAGATTTTAAATCTTGTTTTTTTTCTTTTCGTGCTCACACAGATATGGGACTCCTATAGTTTTAGTCAGATGCATTCTGAACAATGCCTTAGGGGACGCCACAGTTTAACAAAATCATCATTACAACTGTTAAACTAACTAAAACGATTTCATTATTAAAGACCACAGAGAAAAATAAATTAATACAGAAAACAAAAGTAATAAACAAGTATTCCATTTCCAGTTTATTTCACAGATATGTCTATCTTTTTCTGTAGACAGCTTTTAATTAAGATTATACCTTTGTAAGGTATAATCTACATCATATAATCTACTTAAAGAATACTGTTTTAAGATGTATAATTTACTTAAAACACGCCCTTCTTTAAGTCCTCATATACCGGGAGAATCTTTTGCTTTATGTACTGTCACATTTGTTCAAAGGGAACGTACTGGGGACCAGAATCTTCTGGAGATACTTAAATTCGCATATTGTATTACGTTGGAGGGGAGATGGGAGTGATGGAGGGAATGTTTAACGTAAATGAATCAAGATTAAAGGTTTTTATTTCCAGAATAATAGTGATTTTGGCCTAATGTGTGTTTATACAATTTAGCTTATATTCCATCTAAGGTTAGGTGAAACCTGTTTGCTTTATTATAGATAACATGTACAGTTTTAAAATGATCTTACCACAGTATTATAAAACCAAAGAAGGTATTTAAAAAGTTATTTCTTAAAAGAAGCCATTCAGGGATATATCTTGAGACAGGCAAATAAATGACTATTAGAAATTCATGTTCATATACTATTTATCTCTGTTCACCAATGTTAGCAAATGTTCTCTCTCTAAGAATACAGACTAAACCATTCTGGTGTTTAACAAGAGAAGCTCTTGCTATTTAAAATCATAGAAGCATTTCAGCATTCCATTAATATCATTACAGAAAAAAAAAAATCAAATCAAATCCCTTGACATTTATTTTGGCAAACATTCTCCAATCCTAGGTGCTGCGGGTCTGACAATGTGATTGTACCAGAATAAGGCTTCTTTATGTTGTCAAAGATTATTTGTGTTCTTTGTCTTTTTGCCACTATTTGCTTACTTAAAAACAAAGAGATGAACATGCTGGGACAAAACGAGAATGAGAGTGCTGTTGAAGTTGAGACAGGAGCATATTACACTGCTTTCTTAATTCTGAAAGAGATGTATATTCTTCTCTGTTCATAGTTACAGTAGAAATACAAGATACTCTTCTTGAGGGCATTATGAAACATAAATATTCACTGCTGTCACCCTTTTGTTGACTCAGCTCCTCAATGGCATCATCCCAGCACTATTATCAGCTTCTAAATCCACAAATGATCTCTATTTGTGGATGAGGGGACTCTTGAAATAGCTTTAAAGTTTAGAGTTCTAACTCCTCCTTGAGTTCAGCAATTTTTTTTGTGATATTCATTTTTATTAGGGTTTAATAGGAGTTGAAGTCACAAGTGTTAGTTTAGTGGTGAAAGCTTAATTTAGTTGGGATCAACACTATTTTTTAAATCCTCAAGCACAACCTCAGCTCACTAATCTAGTCAATTTAATATTATAATTGCTCTATTGAGTCTATATATCCATCTAACTGAAAAACATAATCAAAAGTCTGCATAAAAAACATTATGCTGGGAAGTTGTTGTGTGTGGCAGGTAATCTGTGTAAAACAATAGAGCTTTCCAATTCTTTTTACCTAGTCAAGCAACACCATCCTAATTGTACCTATTGTATTCGGACTGAATTTCACTTGACTAATTGAATGTGTTGGAATCAAGGCTATAGCTAGAAGTGGTATTCAAATACACAATTACAATGCAGCTGACTTCATTATTTCCTAAGCAAGCAAAAATGCAAGGAAGATTCTATTCCCTTTGAAGTTAGTGGTAAAACTTTCATTGGTATAGTTATAGAATTGTAATCTGTGTTTAAGTCTCAAAAACCCTGTCATCATGTTTATGCTGTAAAAGAGGACAGGGATGTGTTTATGTCACAAAAAATGGAGCTATAAGGGTCACAGAAAGAGTAAATGCTTGTTCACAATTTTGTTCTGTGTGTTCAGAATCCATTTCTTACAAAAATGTATGCAAAATGGGAGCAGAACACAGTGAAGAAAGGGAAGAATCTGGACATAGTTACTGTAATTTTTCCTTCTATTTTTGACTCATAATAGAAAATATGCTGAAACACTGTCTACTGCATTGTGCCTTTATATACATACACTCCAGAAATAAAGAGTTTTTAAAATGTTTAATAATACTTGTGGGTTTTTTTAGGGTAGTGGCAAGTCAAAAGCAGGGGAAAACTTTTATTCAAAAGACTTAATATAGCATGATCATTGAATTGATCTATGACGCAGGGAAACATCACATATTAAGTAGCATGAATTCTATGCATTTTATTTAAATAGATAATACATTTTTCATTCACAGAGCATAAAAAACACATATTACACAGGCACAACTTATGTGGAGAAAGGATTTACTAATTGTTATGAATAAAATTTGTATAAATTGATGAAATGTAGTAAGTGCTATGAACTGATGAAGCTTAATAAGCATATTCATCTCAACTTTACCCCATCTTTTTTCAGATGCACATGTACAGCAGGCTGGACAGGGTCACAGTGCAATGAAGATATAAATGAATGTGATCCTGACCCATGCTTGAACGGAGGGACCTGCTATGAGTCTGTTGTCCAGGGGCAGTTTGTATGCCTTTGTCCTCCATTTTATACTGGAGACTCTTGCCAGCAGCGCTACAACCCCTGTGACCCACACTACAATCCATGTGTAAACAATTCAACCTGCCTGGCACAGGTTGATGGCACTCCATTGTGTGTTTGCAAAAAAGGTAAGAATTGGCACAGAGTACAAAGTGTTTTCCTATTGTCAGTGTGCGAATGTTAGACATCCTATTAAATTATGAAAAAGTTGCAGTTGTGTTGGATTTTAAGACATTGTTACCAAAATAACTAATACTTTGTAGTTTAATAGAACTTTCCAGTGAACTTGAAAATGTTTACTGCATTGTATTTCACATTGGCACTGCACTGTGTGTTTGTAAAAAAATATAAGAATTGGCACAGAATACAAAGTGTTTTCCAATTGTCAGTTTGCGAGTGTCAAAACTGGGGCCAGTTTTGTTCAATATCTTCATCAGTGACCTGGAAGATTGGATGGAGTGTACCCTCAGCAAGTTTAGAGCTACTAAGCTAAGGGAAGTAGTATATATGCTGGAGGGTAGGGATAGGATTCAGAGAGACCTCAACAAATTGAAGGATTGGACCAAAATAAATCTCATGAGGATAAAAAAGGAAAAATGCAAGGTCCTGCACCTCCGATTGAACAATCCCATGCACCAGCACAGGCTGGGGTCTGACTGATGAAGCAGCAGCTCTGCATAAAAGGACCTGGGGTTATAGTGAACAAACAGGAAGCTGAATATGAGCCAACAATGTTCCCTTGTTACAAAAAAGGCTAATGGTATACTTGGAAGTATTAGTAGCAGTATTGCCAGCAGATCAAGGGAAGTGATTATTCACCTCTTCAGCACTGGTGAGGCTACATCTGAAGCTCTGTGTCCAGTTTTGGGCCCTTCACTACAGAAAGGATGTGGACAAATTGGAGAGAGTCCAGTAGAGGGTAATGAAAATGGTTAGGGAGCTGGTGCGCATGACTGCTGAGGACAGGCTAAGGGAAATGGACTTATTTAGTTTGGAGAAGAGAAGACTGAAGGAGGATTTAATAGCAGACTGAAACTACCCTTCAGGTAGATGAAAAGAGGATGGAGCTAGAGAATACAAAGAGCAATGACCTCAAGCTGCAGCCAGGGAAGTTTAGGTTAGATATTAGGAAAAGCTGTCTCACTAGAAGGGTAGTAAAACACTGGAGCAGGTTACCCAGAGAGGTTTTGGAATCTCCATCCTTGGAGGTTTTTAAGATCCAAATGGACAAAGCCTTGGTTGGGATGTTATAGTTGGGGGTGGTCCTGCTTTGATCAGGGGGTTGAACTAGGTAACCTCCTGAGATCCCTTCGAACCCTAAAATGATTCCATGATAACTATTAAGTATTATTACTTATTTGGAAATGGTCACTACTGAATGCTGAAAAACAGGTCTCATTAATTTTGGAAATAAGCTGCTCACAAAATGGTGGCATTAATAAGTCTGAGCACAGTTTAAAAGAATTTTGTATCTAAAGAACACTTTAGATACAAAATGATGGCTTTGCAGTCTTCTTTGGAAATGAAATGTAAAGTGTATTGACATTTTTAATTAACTTTCCTAGAAACAAATAAACAAACAAACAGACAAACAATTTGTGTTCAGATATCTTGGCGCATAATTTCAATTTCAACAGGTACAAAAATCTTACCTCTTAAAGTATGAAACCTTTTAGCTGAAGAGCTTAATAAATCACTAATGTTAAATTTTAGCAAATATTGGAAAAATGGAGAAATTCCATTATTAGTCCAGTACCTGTCCTGTCAAAACAATAGAGCTGATCATTTGGGCCTCTATCAAAGAATTAGAGGCTAAAAAGTCAACTTAGTACAAGTTGATTTCATGGAAGCCAAGTCTGGCAAAGAAATACCTTGTGTTTTGCAGGGAATTGAGACCACAAGATCTAGTTCATAAAAGCAATTATGATGATGCTTATACACTTGGATTCTTGAAGTCATCTGACTAATAAATAAAAACAAATAAGATTAAATGACTAGCATTACAGTCAATTAACAGGGCACACATTAGATTGATTAAAAACTGGCTCAGAGACAGATCTCAGAATGTATTTGTTAATGAGGAACTATAAATGAGTGGGTCAGTTACTTATATGATACCCAGAGATACCTTCTTGGTCCAACACTATTCGGCATTTTTATTAACTATTAAGACAATACTGTAAAATCTTTGCTAGTAAAGTCTGTAGATGACAAAGACTGGTTGGGTTGTTAATGTGAATGCAGGTTGCACATTAGAGTAATCTTATCTGCCTGGTTAAATACTCACCATCCAACAAAATTAGTTTTAAAAGAACCAAATGCAGAGTGTTACATCTAGGAGCTAAGAAAATAGATTATATATGCACAGCTGAGGGACTGTTGAAAAAATGGTGTCTCAAAAAGAACTCCAGGTTCATTAGAGAGAATTTCATCACCATGAGATTCCAGTGTAGTTTTGTGGCTAAAATGGCTAATTGCAACTGTTAGGTTTCTAAAATTGAAAATATCAAGTAGAAGTGGTTAAGCGAATTTGCCTTTGTACACAAGATTGAGGAGATCCCTTCTACCCCCAACTCCTAGAATATTATGTCTAGTTTGGGTGTAACACAGTTTAGGAAGGGTATGGAAATTTCAGAGAGCACTCAAAGAAGGGACATAAAAAAGATAGGCAGGCTGGCAAACAAGTCTTATGATGCTAGCTGAGGAGTTCAAACTATTCAGTTTAATAAGAAGCTGGAAAGAAATTTAATTGCTATATTTGGTCATTACAGATGGCAGACGCAGCTGATAATTGGGGCCTTTTCAGTCTTGATGACAAAGGTATAATAAAAGCCAATGGCTGGAAGTTGAAGGTAGAGAAATTTAATCATCAAATAAGTTGCAGTTTCTTAACTCTGAGATTAATTAAACATCAGAATACCTTTTCAATTGAAATGGCGGACTGCCATTAGGCATCTTTCTAAATGACACTTTTTTTCAGGTTTAGGGAGCACACATACACCATAGAATTGCAAGAAAACAGACTAGAACATTATCACTGCTCCTTTCTGCCTTTGGAGTTCACAAAGTGTACAAAGATTGAACCTCGTGGTTTGAGTCCATAAAATGTGTCATATTTAAATGTAGGAGTCTGGTCTGTTCAGGGGGGGAAAAAGGGGAGAGGCTAACCATTTTATTTCTGTTATAGACCAAGTTCTTTAGAAAGTGTAGAGATGTAATAGGGCCAGTGTAACAGAGGTGGCCGTCATCCCTCCCTCCCACCCTCCCCCGGTAGAGACTCAGCTCCTGCTCTGCTCTGTTTCTAAGAAATCCTCCCTGTGCTCTTGCCTGTCACTCCTCGATCTTATTAGGAAACTTGAAAAGGGAGGCTTCCAGAGTGTCTTAGAGCAAATCATAACCTGTCTTCTTTACCTGTGGATCCCTCTAACCCTGCTGTTCCCAATCAATTAGTCTTTCCTGCTATGTGGGCCCTCTTCACCCACACGTGCCACCAAGGGCACCCATTATTTTATGGGTAAATGATGGCCTCCATCCTCCCCTGTACCCATGCCCATGCCTTACAGGTGTATCAGTCAAATGATTCAGTGGGCTCTAGGCCCCAGTCTCTCATCCACCTTTTCAGTCTCTTGTCAATCTCTGGCCCTCTTGCATCTGGGATTTCTCTAGCCCATCTCTGCCCTTCCTTTGGGTACTGGGCTCTCATTAACCCCATCTCTGCCCCTCCTGGGCTGAGGATTTTTTATCACTGCCCCTCCTGGGTAGCTGTACTACTACTTGTCCTGTCCCCCTTGTTCCCTGGCAGCCTCAAGGCTTAAGTGCTTTACAGGCACTACTGGGACCTCCTGACCTTCCCTACAGTCCTAAACCTAGACCACCAGTTAAACCTCAAACCAAAACCCTGTGAATATGAATATTCATTTGCTACAACATAATTAAGCACACTGGCTCTCTTCTGCAATCCCCATCAACACAGAATCTAACCCCCTGCCAGCCCTTAGCTCCTTACTGACATCTCTCTGGGATAGCAGGAGCTCTCATCAGCAGGCTGTAGAGCTCTTTCAGCTTCAGCCTCCAGGGTCAGACTTCCTGCTTATATGCCACAGAGCCCTGCCCACCTTGTGGTCAGGTGACTCCCTGGGCTGTGTTCAGGTTCTTCTAATGAGCTTTGCTTACTGGCCTTCAGGGTAGTCTATAGTACCAAGCTAACAGTAGTTTTGCCTTGTCTCTCACACAAGACTGTTTCGTACTACTGCCAGGGATCTACTAGCACTGCAGTATCTGTGCCTAGCACAGCAATAGGCACTTCCCATTCTGTGGGCTTTGGATACCTATTCCATTACAGCTAGTTCCACTCTTTACTGCCAGAGTGCAGTTTGCCCCTATTTCCCTCGCTCTAAGTAACAGAAGCCATAGGCTCTCTGTAAAACTATGATGCTTGTATACTTTATATTCAAGTTTTGTCATTTTTGTTTTGCTTGCTTTCCTCTCTGTTAGGCACCTCATATTGTTTTATTCATATTCAAAGGGGAACAAGACAGTCACAGGATACAGCTAGTGAATTAATTCTTTTTTAACCATATTTCTGTTCATATACTCCATTCCAAGGGAGAAAAAAAAAGTTAATGTTGAAGCCAATCTTAGTTATTAAAAAATCTATTTCATTGTACCATAAGGAGAAAAACATTGCAGTGCTAGTGTCATTGCAAATAAATCCCTCCACCAGCCCTGAGAAACGGAGGGAAATACTGATAATTCATGGAAACGGTTCAGACAGTGTTTTGAACTATATGCTAAAGCCACAGGAGCAAATAATTGGAGGATGAGCAAAAGATTATTCTGCTCTTAACAGTGGCCAGTGCAGCACTGATATAAAATGCATTCCATGAAGATGGTAGCATGGAAAGAGAGAACATTTTACCAGAAATAATTACATTGTTTGAGAATCATTGTGCTCCTGGGGGGTGGAAATTTCTTACAAAAGATATGTTCAGGATGAGAACACAGAATGAAGGAGAAACCATGAAGGAGTTTGTCACAGACTTAAACTTAAAAAGCCAGGCCTGGAAGTATGGAGAATGACAAGACTCTCATTAAAGCCAAGATTGTCCTGGGATGCAGTACTAAAAAA